TGGCACTCCACCCAGGTGACAGAGTGCGACTCTGTCTCAAAACAGACAGACAGACAAGGCAAAGCAGCAAGTGCCTGATGTAGAAGCCGCAGTAAGTTATTCAGGAGATTAAGCAAAGATCAGTAGATCAGTGATGAATGTGGCTACACTAAACAACGTATTTTCAGTGTAGAAAAAACAGCTTTATATTGGAAGAAGATTCTATCTAGGACTTTCATAGCTGGAGAGGAGAAGTCAATGTTTGGCTTCAAAGACAGGCTGACTCTCTTGTTAGGGGTATGCAGCTGGTGACTTTAAGTTGAAGCCAGTGCTCATTTACCATTTCAAAAATCCTAGATCCCTAAAGAATTATGCTAATTCTATTCTTTCTGTGCTCTATAAATGGAAAAACAAAGCCTGGATGACAGCACATCTGTTTGCAGCATGGCTTACTGAGTATTTTAAGTTCACTATTAAGATTTACTGATCAGGAAAAAAAATCCTTTCAAAATATTACTTCTCATTGACAGCGCACCTACCTGGTCACCAAAGAGCTTTGATGAAGATGTACAAGGAGATTTCGTGTTGTTTTCATGCCTCCTAACACATCTGTTTTGCAGCCCATGGATTAAGGAGTAAATTCTCTTTCAAGCCTTATAATTATTATTATTGTTATTATTTTTGAGACAGAAGCTCACTATGTCGCCCTAGGTAGAGTGCGGTGGTGTCACAGCTCACAGCAACCTCAAACTCTTGGACTGAAGCGATTCTCTTGCCTCAGCCTTCCAAGTAGCTGGGACTACAGGTGCCCACCACGATGCCTGGCTACGTTTTGGTTGTAGTTGTCTTTGTTGTATGGCAGGCCCAGGCTGGGTTTGAACCTGCCAGCTCTGGTGGATGTGGCTGCCTATGGGCGCTGAGCCTCAAGCTTTATTATTTAAGAAATACATTTTGCGGTGTTCGCAGCAGCTGCCTCTAGCTCGCCGAGCTCCAGCCGAAGAAGGGGGTTTAGTAAGGAAGTCTTTATTCCATGGCTCATACAAAGCAGACTGCCCGCAAATCCACCGGTTGTAAAGCACCCAGGAAGCAACTGGCTACAAAAGCCGCTCGCAAGAGTGCGCCCTCTAGTGGAAGGGTGAAGAAACCTCATCGCTAGAGGCTTGGAACTGTGGCACTCCGTGAAATAAGACGTTATCAGAAGTCCACTGAACTTCTGATTCGCAAACTTCCTTTCCTGCGTCTGGTGCGAGAAATTGCTCAGGACTTTAAGACAGATCTGTGCTTCCAGAGCGCAACTATTGGTGCTTTGCAGGAGACAAGTGAGGCCTATCTGGTTGGCCTTTTTGAAGACACCAACCTATGTGCTATCCAGGCCAAACATGTAACAATTATGCCAAAAGACATCCAGCTAGCACGCTGCATACATGGAGCACATGCTTAAGAGTCTGCTATGATGGAAAAACATTTCATTATCAAAAAAAAAAAAATTCTCTTCTTCCTGTTATTGGTAGTTCTGAACGTTAGATTTTTTTTCCCCCATGGAGTCAAAAGATACTTAAGCATATGATTGCGACTGGAAAAATAGGGTACGGAAATCAGGTATTGGCAGTTTTTCCATTTTCATTTGTGTGTGAATTTTTAATATAAAATGCGGGGATGTGCAGCATTAAAGTGAGTCAAAATGTTTCAGTGAACAAGTTTCAGCAGTTTATAACATTTATAACAATTATAAATAAACCTGTTAAATTTTTCTGGACAATGCCAGCATTTGGATTTTTTTAAAAATAAATAAATTTCTTATTGATGGCAACTAAATGGTGTTTGCAGCATTGTTATCATACGGTAGATTCCATCCATTCACTATACTTTTCTAACTGAGTTGTCCTACATGCAAGTACATGTTTTTAATGTTGTCTGTCTTCTGTGCTGTTCCTGTAAGTTTGCTATCAGAATACATTAAACTGGCTAGGCGCC